TTTATTAAGGATTTATTAAGGATAAATCTAGGATAATTTAGTAATTTACATCGCTTTAACTATTTTAAGTAGAAGCCCTATATAACTTCTCTATTCTACATATTAAAAAAATATTTGTAATTTATATCTAATTTAAAGGATTTAATAAAACCTTTACGAAAGAACTTTACTTATTCTTTAAAGAAATAAATAATTATAAAATTAATTCTATTATTAAAAACTTTCTAAATATACTATTTAATAAAAAAATTTAATAATTTACTCTTAATAAGACTCTAATATATAAATTTATATAAATATTTGGATTTTAGTATTTTAATTAATATTCGTATATTATAATTTTAAGGCTTAAAATTCCTAATAGTTAAATAAAAGCGTAATACTTTTTAATTATTAACCGAACCCTATTAATATTATTAAAATTTATATATATTTAATTAATAATATTTGTATTATATTCATTAAAAAATTAAATAAAATATAGATTACAGATTAAAATCGTTAAATTACAAATTAATTAATAATTAATCTTTAATATATTATCGATATTAAGAATTTACTTACTCTAAATTATATTAGGGTCTCCTACTCTCTATAAAACCCTTATTAAATTATTAATAATATATTAAGGAGTTTTATTAGGAGGTAGTGGTAGGTATATATATTAACTATAGGAGGTTATAACAATATATAGGATAGTTTTAGTATTAGCTAGAATATAAATATTAATAATAATATTGTAGCTTCGAATTTGGATAGTACTATATCCTTATAAATATTCAATTTTTAATTTATTATTAATAAATCTTTAATAAATATTTAAAATAAGGAGGAAGGATTTATTTACTATATTTAACCTTTCTTACTAGTATAGAATATATTTTAGTATACGCCTTAATATATAATAATTTAAATATAGAGTCCCTTAAATAACCTTCGATTATTAGTTTAATATTTAATTAGAATCGATTAAAGTTATTGGGGAGGCTAGTGAAAAAATATATCCTCTCTCCCGGCTTCGAATTTTAATACTTTAATTAATAGCGAATATAGCTAATAATTATTTTAATAGAAATAAATTAGGAATATAAGTAACGCCAATTATAAAGGGTATATCTTAAATAGGAAATACTTTACTTATATACTAAATAAATTTATAAAATAATTTCGATTTTTTATAGCCCTATATCTCCTAACGTATTCTAGCCGCCTATACCCAATTAATTATAAAGATTATATTAGTAGATAATAATTATTGTTAATTAGATTATAGTAATATAATTAAAATCGGAAATAAATTATAAATAAATCTATACTTAATAGCTCGCCTAACTAAAGGGATTTTATTTTATTGAAGGTGGATTTGAGATAAAAGGTTTATAATTTTTTTATCGACTATAAGTATAGACCTTTATTTATACGCTTACTAAATTCTATAATTTAGATATTTATAGTATTTAATACTAGTATATTTATATATAGTATAATAATAAATAGCATTATTTAAATAATTAAAGGAAGTTTCCTTCGTAGGTATTTTCTTTGTAATATAATACTAGATTTGGAATATAAAAAAGTAATTAAATATTAACCTTATTTATACTACTATTTTATTTCAAAATATTACCATTATATACTTCGCTCTACAGAACCTTAACCTAATTTTCAGTTAAATTATTAATATTTATAATATATATTACGCTAAAAATAGAAGATTTAGAGTATTCTAGAATAATAATTATATAGTAGATCATTTCGATAAAGATAGAGTATTAATTAATATTATTAAATAAAATAAGCGTTAGGCCTATAATTTTAACCTTTATATAATTAATATTACAAAATTAATTATTAATTAATATAAAATATATTTAGAATATATTAATAATATAATACAAAACTTACTAAGAAGTTATTAAATATTATAATATTAGGAAGGGTTATATCCTTTAAATCTTCTAACTTATTAAATTCGGCTACTATATTAATAATTTACTATAGTTCGAATATAATAGACGGTCTATTAAATACTTTATTATTCCATTCAATTAAACCGAGCCTAGTAATAATAATTAAGGTATTAGCGTTAGAAATAGGGTAAGCGCTTATTTTACATCGAATATAATAAATTAAAAATCAATTGGGGATAGATCACACAAGTATTATCGCGAACTATCGCGGAAGGTTCACAGAAGGGTAAATTCGGGCTAATATTATTCGGATTTATACATTTCTTATTCGTAGGCAAGTTTCGTTTATTAGGATTAAAAGCGCCGGTTATTTCTCTATAGGGAAAGTTAAAAGGTATGTATACGATGTGTTAAAGGGGTAATAGTTAGCTAAGAGATTTTCTATAGTGTGGGGTCGGTCTTAGCGTATCTACTTAGGTCAGGAAGCTTTGGGTATAGGGTCGGGTCATATGAGTACTCTATTGAAGCTGCCACTGCAGGTTCACAGCCTCCTGAATGAGCTTCAAGCTCGATGGGATTTGAGCATATGTACACGACGATTACGGCAGGCGGGTCGCTAATGCGGATGAAAAGCTCCTTTGTTACCACCTCACTTTCGGAGTTGCAGGAGGGGGATCACCCAAACTCTGAGCTTGGCAGCAGAGAAGCTTGGGTCGAATGTGAGGTCCACTTACCATGTTATGTTGGCACCTGCTGTTTCCAATTTCCCAGCCATGCCATTTTTTGTTTTTGTTCTTTTCGAAAAGCGCCGTGTTGTGTAGTTGGAAGGTGACCCCTCACATGGGAACGTATTTTTCCTTCCTTCCTTTCTTTCTTTCTTTCTTTCGCTGGTACCAGAGGGGCTGGATGGCTGCATGTCGTCGCTTCGTCGCCGCTCTGGTTCGGCGAGGGCGCTGACAAGCTGAACGAAGTGTTATCCGATCTACCGCGCATCCACACTGTTTTACTTACACTAAATTGACCTTATCCCAACGCCGTTGCCGCATGGCCGGAACTGAACTGTCAACCTCTCATCTCAAAGCTCCTATCTTGAATTGAACCCCACAGATGAACAGTCCAGTCTGACATGTGCGGTGTGCTCATTTGCAAGTGATAGATGGCCGTACATACTGTGTATAGACTTGCGAGGCTGGCACGGTTGGCAAAACTTTTGAAGCAATTCCAATGTTGATGAGCGCGGGTGTAGTGTATGAAAATTGCAGTGTTCCTGCCACTGTTGCTGCTCCTAGCCCGGTCGGGTGTGCAAGTCGTTAACGTCATCGGCCCACCAAAGTGGTATCACGTAAAAAAACTCCTGGTACGAGGTCATTACAGACCGTGTTATCACCTACTTACATACTATCCAATAACATGCTGTTCCCTTGGGCGACTGATGATCTTTGCTGTATCACAGGTCTCCATTGTCGGACAATTAATTTTGTTCGGGGTGTCTGTGCTGTTTTGTTTAGTGTGGTGTACACCATCGTCATGTTGGGCTCCCGTCCGAGGCTCGAATAATTCCATCTCGTTTTGAGAGGACTTGTCCAGAATCTTTCGCTCACTTTGCATAATTCGCTGCTCCACTGCTCCGACCACCAGCGATCGCGATGAGTGTCGTCGGCCCAGGCGGCTCAGTTCCGGAAGAGCACCGCCGCCGAACCCCGGATCCTTGGGGCGGGGGCTACAGTACGGTGCGGCCGGCGACACACTGTCGGCTTCCGATTGGCCGGGCACAGCGCCTCAAAAGTCGGAACCAATACGGCGGTTCATCCATTACACTACGGTCGACGGCTACTCGTATACGGCTAGGCGCTCGGGGGCAGGGTAGGCGCTGAGGCACTGTAGGGTAGTGCTTACTTACTCGGTTCACTCCGAGTCTATAAATGTTTCCGTTAGTCTCGTTTGGATTGAGTCGACCCGAGTCTTCGTGGAAGGTCTGCTTGGCCTTCTGATGGTCAGGTTTAAGAATATCTACCATATTGTAGGTGCGGTGTGGGACATTGGACTTTCCAGGCTGACAACTTTAGGTTGTCATCACAACCTGAATATCATTTTTCTTACTAAACCATTATACGGACCCTGTCTCGAGACGGCAACTGATGCCCCGAACGTGGTGTCATCGACTGACATGAAAGCCATTAGCAGCCACTTCAGCAATCACCCATTACTGCCAAGTAGACGAGATGTCCCCCAGAGCGAGTCGACCCCACGGGGTCGAGGTACGTATATAACACCTCTCGTAGTGCGGTAGGAGAGTTGTTGGGATGGGTGATGTGATCATTCTAGGTTCTCCTGGGATATTGGCAATTATGAAACCTTGCTGCAATAAGGCTTAAGTATAGGTAACCGGCCTCTTACACGTGACGAATCTGACCTCAGGCTCCGTGGAGGTGCCTCAACCGCCATCCATGACACAATCTGATGTCGGGTCTTTGACATCACGAAATGGGGATGCCCAGTGGCTGAGGCCGTGTTCGTTCCGGCAGTAGTACAGTAACGGAAGCATTTTTTTGGTGGCAGAAAAGCTTTGGGTTAGGGTTAGAAGAGATCCCCTTACTGCACTACTGCCACAACGAACACGGCCTGAAGATTGCATGGCAAGACTGGCTGGGTAGGTAGGTATGTAGTGTAGCGGCGGCCTACACTGCAGCGGCGCTACAGTGGCCCATGCCTAACTGAGCCCGACACCGAACCTTGTCGCCCACGCCGTGTTCCTGGATCGTCAACCTTCCAAAAAGGTGGGACTCGAAACAGGATGCCGCCTGCTCCAACCACCGATGACCGGGCCGCGTCCAAGCTACAGTACCCCCCTCCCCCTCGCTGGACCATTTCTCTTCATGTGATTGTGGGTGTAGAATAGCTTCTGGAAAGACCAGAGCAAAGTGGACGATATACGACAGAAACAACAGGTTATTCCAACCCTCTTTGAAAATACCATTCTTAGCGTCAGGCTATCCGTCTGGTCAAAGATTTCGACATCGAATTATGTGGCCTTTCACACTGGACAGCTCTCCGAAATACAGTTGACTATCGCAATTCAGGGTCCCCAAACACTTTCTTGTTCCCTCCAACAATCAACATCCACACAACACTTTCGACCACGACTTCGACAGCTCGCCATTCAACCGATCCAAGCCATTGGCTACCAGACGGGCATAGCACATTATCTTCGCCATTTCCGAAGTCCGTTCGATGTAGTCCGAGGCCCGAGCCACGAAGTACGAAGCTCAAAACCTCGACCATGTCAGAGCATCTCCGACCTCCAATTTCAGCCCCATCCCACTCTCCGACTCTCCACGCAACCGACGTCAAATACGATCAGCAAGACCCCGAAGAAGACATTACCATCGGTACACGAACACCGAAACCCTACTACCGTCAGAGCTTCGAGCTCCTCGAGCCCTCCGAACGACTCTTACACAGAGCAGCGACCGTGGCTCTGTCACAGCGTCAGCCCTCCTCTACATCAGCCCACAACTCGAACCCGGCGAGCGATAGCGGTACCGAAGCAGACGATGAACATTTCCTCAAGGGATTGCCGGCCCCCAAAACCCGATCACACAAGGGCTTACGTGGGAAGAACGAGCCGCTGTCGGGTACATCAACACCCTTGCTTTCCCCCAACGCGCCAGACGAGGATGGACGAGACCCCGACCTGAACTCGAGATCTGGCTTTTCCATACGACTAAAAAGAAGTGAGGCCGAGAGAGCTCGTAGAAGGAAAGAAGTTGTTCGCCGTGGTGCCGAGGTACTGCTGCTTGCTTGTCAGGGGGTGCTGGTAGCGTCAAACCATGATGTGCAGCCTTTTATTCAAATATATCGAAAAGGTACGTTGAGCTTTTGCTATTACAGTCATAACCTCAGCTAACATGTTTCCTGCAGAACTCTCCGCCTTGGGCTGGCTATTCTCGACACTACTTGCTCTTTACCCGCTGAGGCTCGTAGCTTGGGCATATCGTCGAGGCAACCCATCGAAACAATTGCCTCTTTCTGTCCCTACTTCCTTCGATCCGGCTCCGGCGTTATACCCACAGCTTATACCGCTGTTCGTCTCGCTTCTTGTTGCACCGAATGTCGAGGGTGTTGTGTTGCCAAACGTGATTTTGAGCATCTGCTCGCTACCAAGACCGTTGATACCTGGCGCGGGATACTGGGAAGAGTACAGTTCTACACAGTGGCTATTGTCTTGCATTCCCCTTGTGGCGGGCGGCTCTGCTACGGACCCCGAGATCCTGACTTTGCTGTATCCCTTGCACCAGACGCTATGCTTGCTCTTGCAGCAACTTACTACGACTAGCCTGCTGATTGCAGAATTGCAATTACTTTCCGTGGCCCTCATTAACGTCCTTTTACTGGCACGATCTCCCCAGGTCGTTATTTTGAAGGCACTTCTTTGGGGAGGTGGTCTCGGCATTATCGCGCTATGTGGTAAAGTCATCCAATGGGGTATCTCTTTGGCTAGAGTACCAAAGTGGCGCTTTAAACGTCCTTCTGTCTCCAGGTCTGGAAGTACATCTGGATTCTGGAAGTTCTTCAGAGCCGCCAAACGTACATACTATGATGGTAAAACCGACAACGAGGAGGTATTAAGTGACTCCGACCATGTGGTTTCGGGCCATAATCGCAACCGAAGCTCCGCAACTCCTTCCTGGGATTTGGGCTTCTTGAAAGGAAGGACAAGGGCGGATAGCATCACCAGCGCTGAAGAGAACTCCTTTCGTCAAGCCAATGGTGCGGATGTTCGCTTTGATGTGCAGGAGCCACCATCGCCTCAGCAGCCCTCTTCACGAAGGCATACATTGCCTTCTCTGGGTAAAATCACCAGCATTGTTCGGTCCCAAACCAGCACTCCTTCGGGTCGCCGGAAGCGTTCTGCCTCCACCAGTGTACGCGCCTTCTTTTCCTTGACACAAGGACAAGCTGCTGTGAGGAAGTGGCTGTACGCCGGCTGGGTCTACGCTTGCATACTGATCGTCATTTTGGTTGGCGTTCGAGAATGTGTGGGACGATACGCTCTGGCTGGACACGAGCCCGTAGGGTGGGCGCTTGGTTATCTATTTGGCGACATTCCCGAGTTCAGGCTCGAGGTCGTCAAGGCGGGTCTTGAGAGATGGATCTGCCTCCCGATACGAGCCCATGGTGAGGCTTCCGGCGCCTTGGGCGGCTGGGTTCAGTTGGTCCGGCAGTCTGTCTTTGGAGAAGCGAATACCCGTCTCCTCCTCAGCGGCTACTGGCTAGTCATCATCGTAATCGGCCTCGCCGTCGTGTTCCGTCTGTCGCCTTTTTACGAGGTTGATACACGTCGGAAGGTCTTTCATTTCATGATGGTCGCCATGTTCTTGCCTACCATCTTCATTGACCCAACATACATCGCTCTGGCTTTGTCGATCGTTCTCGCCATCTTCCTTCTGGTTGACCTTCTCCGAGCCAGCCAGCTCCCCCCTTTGTCTACGCCTATAGCCCAGTTCCTTACCCCATACGTCGATGGAAGAGACCTACGCGGCCCCGTCGTCATCTCGCACATCTTCCTCCTTATCGGATGCGCCATCCCTCTATGGCTCAGCTTAGCCGCATTGCCGCGCATCGGAGAAGGCCCCTTAGCAGGATGGGAGGTCCCACTCCGTGACATCAGCATGGTCGCCGGAGTCGTATGCGTGGGACTAGGCGATGCGGCAGCTTCGCTGATCGGAAGGAGATGGGGTCACAGGAAATGGCTCTGGGGAGGCGGCAAGAGCATTGAGGGAAGCATTGCGTTCGCGACAGCGGTGTTTGTGGGGTTGATGACGGCTAATGTTTGGCTGTTCGTTGGGGGCTGGCCCTCGACTGTCGGCATGCTTTCTACGGTTGCCCGGGAAGCGGAACTTAATGATGGCTTTGGATCGAGCGAGGGTGCGGCCGCGGGTGTCGGCGAGCTGGCGATGGATATAATCGGGAGGTTATGGGAAGCCTTGTCTCAGTTGCCAAAGGCATCGTGGTCGATGACGGTGGTGAAGACGGCGGTATGTGCTTGCATGGCATCGCTCACAGAGGCGGTGTTGACAGGAGGTAATGATAATGTGGTCGTGCCGGTTGTGCTGTGGACTTGTGTCAAAAGCATGAACATGAATTTGAGGTAGTGCCAGAGTATGATACTCCTGTTTGTTATAGACGAAGAGATAGATAAGACTAGGAAAGTGTTACAAAATGTCCAATCTTGTGTGATCAGATCTGTTATCCATGATGATGGACTTGAAGCTGCTACTCGGAAAACCATTAACACTTTGAATCTCTTCCGCCTTATTTACGTCGTTACCGAGAAACTCACTGTCGTCCACCTTGAACCTTTAACTCTACTTGTAGCACACCCAGCAAGACCATCAGCTCCGATTCCGAACGGAAGATCGAACGACGCGTGGTGCGATGAACAATACTCAAGTCACAAGGTTCCGAGAATGGTTGCTCGAGGTACACTTAAAATTAACGCCGAATGCCTTACTTACATCATGCTGTTTTGGACAATGGTGGAAGTCAAGAATGAACAAAAGGCTGCAAAGTATCGGGCTTCACACCATCACGCAAAGCCTCCAACGCTGAAATAAAGCTTTGAAGCAGTGTTTAAACACAACAAGGAACTGATGGGGGGAATAAAAGAAAGAGGCCTATATTGCGTGCCCATTCATCAAACACCAAAAAAAATCATGATATTTCCCACACTGGCTGAGCCCAACGCCCGGCTGCTTAAATAGTCAAGAACACACTCCCGCCCACAATGCTAATAGCCAAAATCGCCGTCACGATGCCCGCACCAACCCGATCCGCCATGGTGATCGGCTTCAACGCCGCCAACCCTCCCCTCGACGCCGGATCCGTCACACCTGCTCCGGGATCACCCTTGGACGTGCCGCCCTGCGCCGTCGTGACGGGTCCCTTGGCCGCCTTGCCCACCCCCTTATGCGTCAAGGTATACATGACAGCCGACAAAGCGTTCATCTGCGCGCCAACACCAGCCCACCCGTCAAACGTCTGCGTCCACTTGAACCCGCACGCGGTCCCGTCGATGCCCTTGAAGCCTGGTTGGATGCCACCGCTGTCTACTTGCGGTGCTGCCGCCCCGACGGGCCCTGTACAAGTGGCGACGGCGGCGGCGGCGGTTGCGCGTATCCAGGGATTGATGCGTTCGTACGTGTAGGGCGCGACTTGCGAAGTTGATGATAGCCACCGCAGCAAATAGCCCTTGAACGTCTGCTGGTCAATGTTGCACTGGTACGGGTGTCCGCGGTCCGAAAATCCCGATTCGCAGTACCATTCCTTGATGATCTTGGTGTCGTTGGTCAGGAACTTGGCCTCGACGGCCCCCAACAGGCCGTCCACGCGGGTTTTCCAGGTCTCTTGTTCGGCGCCCGTCGAGACATTGTACATGAAGGCCGCGCCTTGGAGGAAGACGCCGATGTTGTAAGACCATACGTGTGGCCCGGAGTCGTTGCGGCACACGTGTGTTGTCACGTCGAAGTGGGCGCCGTCTTTGACGTCGTATTCGTCCGTGATCAGGTTGATGGAGCGCTCCCAGTCCCAGGTGCGCGAGGCCCATTCGCCGTAGGAGCTGTTGCCTGTAAAGCGCGCAAGGCGTGCGCCAAGGTTGAAGAAGATACCGTTGGAGATACTGGGGGAGGGGGGGAAAGTCAGTATGCCGACACGGGAAAGTCGTTATAGAATGATGAAACATTCCAAGAGATCCCAAACAAAGTATCGCAAGTGCCTCTTGGCTTTCCCTTCCACTTACGAGTTTTTATAATCCTTGCCCGTCTGAAAGTCGTTGATAGCCCATCTGAGACCTCCGCCGCAGTTCAAGTCGTCCCAGCGCGAAGCCATCTGGTTGAAAACAGCCTGGACGAGCGCCAGCCATTGCGGCTGGTCCTCAGGTGGGTCTGGAAACGCGTCCTCGGCCGCCATCATGGCCGTGATAGTCCAAAAGCCTACATCGTCGTTGGATGATGTTCGGGACTGGTTGGCAGGGTTGAAATCTCGGGCATCGCCTGCTTGGTGCACAATCGCCTGCGTCGTCACTTCCACATAGGATGTGTCGCCTGTAATCCACCAATAGTCGACCATTGCGCCAAACATTGCGCCTGCTTCCCACCAGTAGTAAGGATCCGGCAAGTTTCCGGGTGTGTCGCCGGTGTTGTTTCCCGTGTAGTATTTCAGCATTCCGTATGCTATCGTAGCGGCGGCATCCTTGACCGATTCTGATCAACGCCCGTGTTAGTAGGCGCGAGCGCGAACGAAGGGGGTGTTCAGTCAGGATCCTTACGGGTATCGTCGATGTCCATGGTGATGGCCGTCGCAGACTGGGCGAGCAGGCCCATCAGGCCACAGACCGCAACATTCCACCTCATGGCGGAGAGAGGGAACCGAGAGAACGAGGGACGACGAGATCACTGGAGCGTATAACGAAGGACGAGAGGGGCGCTGAAACGAGGGACGATGAGCGAAAGCCTTCACGCAAGAAGTTGGACCGCTGGCAACAATCACAGAAGCGGCATACTCTTTTCACAGAGTATTTGTGTCGTTTAGTTAGAAAGACAGTGAAAACAGGAGAGAAAATGAGACTAGCGAGAGTAGGAACTGGAACGACGATGATGGGATGAAAGGATGGAGGTCAGTCAGACTGTGCCAAGCGAACGGAAGCACGCGGAGCAAGACAAGAGACAAGCACTCTCGAAACCAACACTTGGGGGTCCAAACAGCCAAGCATTACAATGGTCTCAAAGGCAACAAGCCAAGGCCAGAACGGAACCAACAATAGACACCGATGAGGACCAGCACTTGCAACAGGGACTCCCGAGCCGCTAGAGAACCCTTGGCGTGGTACTGGCTAAACGCTTTTGATGAAAGGATACTGTGTACATGATAGTGTCAGAATTACTGCCGGGGTTTGAGTCGCTGAGACGGTCTAGACGGGTACCTTTTTTGAAGGGTAGAGATCTAGAAATGTAACCGGGCCAGAACAACCTGTTCTCAGATTCCGCGTATTAACCAAGTCTACACACTGATCATCAGGGAGAATCTGGTCGACGGATAGAAGGATGCGGACAAGACTTTGAAAACAAGGAACGCTGGAAAGAATAGGAGCAATGCGAGCAATGTGACGACGTAGCCACAGCTCGGATTGGAACTTAGATTGGCTGAAATTGAGTTTGGCGAACCATCACGATGGGGGTTCGTGTCGAGCCAAGACATTGGCAAAATTGGCAGAGTCGGGAGGATTGACAAAGGATGAAAGTGGTGCAAAGGGCTTAAATAGCAGCCTCTCAACAACACAACTGGTGCCCTAGAACGGTGGGAACCATGCCTTTTTCTGACCTTCGATTTCGTGTGGAAGGGGGGAAAGCACGTGGCAAAGTTGAAGAGACTCCAGTTCTTGATATTAGTGTAAACTGCTTCATCTGAATAATTTGGAAATCCAGATTATCCATACTGTACGATTCGTTAGTGCAGTATGTAAAGCGCTTGAGCGTTGACCTCTTTCCCCCAGAAAGTAACCCTGTAATTTGTCATGCTTGGCGAGGCCAAGGGAATCTGAGACTTGAACTGGGCTTTGACATTAGTAGAACACAGCCACGATTGAATAGCCATGTTTCTGTATGAAAGTCGTGTTCGTTTGTCTTCATTCATCAACGCGCAGAAATCCAAATGGTTGGGTGAAACAGTAAGGCATAAAGTTGAGACCACCCTCGCCGGCAGTGTTTGGAAACCCCTGAACCGTGCAGATGTGTCAAACACCTGGGTTGTGGTAGTGACCAGATGTTAGCAGAAGCGCCAAAATATGTGTGAAGAGAGAGATCCACGTTAAAAGATTTCAATAAAAAATTCAAACATATCCATAGCATCCATAAATTCCCATATTGGCATGTTAGTCATTGATCGCCATTAGTAAAAGTCGATGATTGTTTAAAATTTTGCTCCTTGTGGTGCCCTTTGAAGCAGTCTGGACTTGACGCCAAGACCGGACGATGTTGATCGGACCCAAAAAGGCCAAGGGTCAACCTGGCGGCTAGCTTCGATTGCAATGCTGCATGCGATTCAGCACCCAAACCTCTGATGTAATCCAAGTAATCTGTATTGCTGTCAAGCCGTCCGAATCGATGTCCGGTGATCTTGAGCTGCGAATAAATTGCATTTCGTCGAGATCGTAATAGAAGGCACTACGCTTCTGCGCCAAAAGTTCCGTATATCACCAAGAGATGTCGTTCCTTTTGTCTGTTTACGCCTTGCGCTTCTTGGCCGGCCTGGCGTCGGCATCATCCTCCTCATCGTCCTCATCAGCATCATCGTCATCGTCATCTTCAAAATCGTCGTCGCTTGCCAACTCCTGTTCTTGTGCTTGGGCTGTAATGTGTTAGCAGAAATGCATAAACAGGGAGCAAGGTATAGATGTTTCTTACTGAAGTACTTGATAGCACCGGGCCACAGGTCGTCCGAGAGAGCAAGTGCAAGGCTGTCGCCATCCGGAAAGATCTCCAACTCGATCTCATCCTCCTCCTCCTCCTCCTCCTCCTCTTCCTCGTCATCCTCCTCATCTTCCTCCTTCTTGCTTTCACCGGCCTCTGCGGTAGCCTTTCTGGCTTGTCGCTTTTCTTGAAGCTTTTCAATGGCTGCCTTGTTTTCCTCGGCAGATACTCTCCTGCCCCTGTAGCCGAACCAGGCAAAGAAGCTAAGGCCTCCGAGCCCAATTTTCTCAATCTGGTTTTTGAGTTCCTTTTGCTTGTCCGTGAAATCCTCACCCTTGACGGTGGACCAATGCTTGCCAGCAGCCTTCTCCTCTTCCCAGACGGCGTTGACCAAGCCGAGCAGGCCACTCGTAAGGTCCTTGCCCTTCTTCCACTTGATGTTCACCGGCTCGCTGACCAAGCCTGTCCAACCGCCTTTGCTTCTGCGCGACCAGAACTTCTTCTCCAGCACCTTGTCCTCGAAGTACTCGTTTTCGGCAAATTCGAAACGGAAGAGGACGCTACGGGGGTCGCCGGAGCCACCGTTCTCGATTTCGAAGTGGGAGACAGAAAAGGAAGAGAGAGACGATAGCAAGAGGGCGGAGTCTTGGGGTTGGATGTACTCGTCAATGTCTTGTGGCGCCTGCTCGAAAACCAGGGGCCAAAAGTTGGGGATCTGGGCTACGACCTTTTCACGCTTCTCGTAGAGGGGGCGGGACAGCTGGACCTGCTGGCGGACT